TTCCCATAGGAATGCACAGGAGCACCGCAAAAGTAGACTGGTTGCTGTCTGCTTCAACTTGCCTCCCGGAAGTCGCTTAGACACTAGCATTGCTAGCACCAGTTGAACCTCTAGCGTAAGTACATTAAATAACTCTATGGGTTTGACAGGTTTGGTTTGACAGGTTAACAAACATGGCTGCCGGTGTCTGCAGAGCGCGAACGAGCGATGCTAGTTGAGCTCGTCATTTTTTATGAGTGCGAGTGGTTTTAGTTTACAGGGGTGTTTAGAGGAAGGTCTCATGAATCGACGTAGTTTGCTGCAAACAGCTGTCGCAAGTACGCGCCTTCGGAAGCCCTGTGAATTGTGTGATTGCGACCATGGTTTCATACCGAGAAGATACCTACACAGCTAAAAATTTGCTAGCCATTTGACTGGAAGCGATCGGGTGTTCGGCTCGCATCAAGTTTTTTTTTTTTTTTAGGTATGTTCCTGTTATTCCGCCTCGAAAGGCAAGCGTTTAAGTTTTGCTGTGCACCTGGCCTACCGAAGCGAATATTTTTTTCGTCGCGTTTCAATTGTGCGCCATGACGCTCACCCACCTCGCTCGCGGATGCTATGTAAAAAAAAAACAACAAAAAAACTAGAACAGTAAAGCTAGAAAGACAACATATTTATTGTGTTAATTTTTTTAGTTCTCTCAGTCGTTTATTACCGTACATCAATAGACGCTTGCATTGAACCGTGGCTCGTGCATGATGGAACACTAGAACGCCGCTTTCATGGTCGCGTCTTGTGAGTGTTGCGCAAGTTTTTAGACCGGGCGGAATAGCTGACGGACGGAGGCGAAAACGGACGCCGACGCACAGCTTTCGTGTCCGCGTCTCACGGACATCGCAGACGACGATATAGATGGTGGTGAAATAGCAGACGATGCCGGAGGCATGCGGCGCGTCTGCTCGCACGACTGACAGGCGTTGTTAGAAAGTAGTAAACTTGAGGAAGAAAACGAGAAAGGACGGACAAACACAAACTTCCAACTGGCAACAACAACAACAACAACATAAGACTTCTAGACTAGGCACACCGGATGTCGCGAAAGAGTGCCACCATGCGCTTGTTAGCGTGTTCGATCGAGCAGCCAAGCCAATTCAGTAGTAACGGGCGGGGCCACTGATTTGTGGGCGGGGCTTAGAGCGGGCCATGACCTCCACCTAAATTGCGTCTAATGGCGTAAATATTGCGCAAAAGCTTCTTCTTTTTTTTTTTTGGGGGGGGGGGGGGGGGGGGGGGAAGTAACAAGGGGGACGAAGGACAAACAGAAATCTCCAAACACAGCTAGGTGACTGGTGCGCGACTGGAAGTTAGCTCAGTTGGAAATGGAGAGGTCCCTGGTTCGATACCAGGACCAGGCGGATTTTTTCGGTCGCGTACCAACCACCTAGGTGTGTTTGGAGATTTGTTCTTTGTCCCCCTTGTTACCCCTCTCCAGGGATTATTATCGTTATACTTGTCCAGCTCGCTGCGCCTTTGCATTAATTGCACTAACATCATAACTTCGAAAACCAGACCGTTTACCCTTGTTGGTGTTAGAGTGGTGGGTGTTTAAACCCGCTTGCTCTATTGACGTCAAACTCCCGGTTAGCTCAGTTGGTAGAGTGCTCCACTGGAAATGGAGAGGTCACTGGTTCGACACCAGGACCAGGCCGATTTATTCTGTCGTTCACCAGTCACCTATAGCTGTGTTCGGAGATTTCTGCTTGTCCTTTGTCCTCCTTTTTCCCCTACTCCAGAGATTAATATCTTTATTCTTATCCAGCTCGCCACACCTTTGCATTAATTGCATTAACGTATAAGTCACCGAAACATTCGTGTCTTGAATGTCGCGTGCAAGGCTATCTCCTTGAACTGCAGTCACGCTGACTACGAAGCATAGATGTCCCGGTGACGAGTAACGTAAGCAGACATAAGCTTTCGTAACGTAACGTAACGTAACGTAAGAAACCGGGGCTCTATAAACAAATCTTTAAAGGCGCCGTGAAATGATTTTTTAACTTCTTCCTTCTTAGCTTTAACCCTCAACTCAAAAGCGAATGGAGAAATTATGTCGTCGTGACATGCTTGGACACCGATACAATGACTCGAAGCTTCCATCGTGCTTTTTAAGCACACCATAGAACATGTCATTCGCAAGTGACGATAAGTTCCGTCAGGGCACTAATTGGCCACGAACGCGAATCCAAATATTCGTCGACGGATTGATTATTAACGAGCGCATACGTCCGAGTGACGCAGTTCTCGTGTCCAATGCGTGAGCTGGTGTCGGCTGACGTGCGTTGGGACAGTTGGGACAGTTAGGACCGCTGAAGTTCTTTTGGTTCCGCGGATGTATAATGGCGGAGGGCTTTTGAAGGGAAAGAGGTACAAAATAGTCTGCTATATTTCCAAATGTTCGCCCCGAAAAGGTGGTTTTTGACTTCGTACCCTCTTTCTCTTGGCCCACTAAACGATATGCGATTAGTAAAGTCCCAATCTAAAATCCCAGACCAAAATTTATTTTATGGCTCCTTTAACCATATATGTTTGTCCTTAAAAAAAAAAAAAGAAATAGTTGCAGGGACATTGACGACAAGCTCGAAGTTTTTGCAAAACTTATTCCGTTGAAGATGCTCAGAAAGTTCAATAGACCTTTTGCAAAGCGTGCAGTGCCGTTCGCGGCGCAGAAAGGAACGCCGAAAACTGCCTGAACAGAACCGGCTGTAGCAGACGATGGAGAAAACGCAGGCGAGCGGGCGTTCCTGCGATTCGATGAGCTCCTTGCACGCGGCCTCTCGAGATTCTTACAAAAGGCCTATTGCAACCAATCAGACTCCTGCCGTCCTGTCGCGATGCCCAAGGCGCCGCGCATAGGCAAGTCATCTCATGTAAGAGTTTAGGTGACGTTTATCTGTAAGGAATATGGGAAATCCGAACAACCATAACCAATAAAAAAAAAAATAGGAAGCTGTATTATAGCTGCTTTATTCATACAATGTTATCTTCGCACAATTAGAAAAAAGAAAACTTCGCGATAGCTAAGCAAACAAAGTTATGGTTTGTGTATTTTACTCTTTAGTATACTGCACACTATCCAGAACGTTCGCTAAATCTAATTTATCTTATCTTTGCAGCTACCCAGCAGTCGGACTACGGTTAGTATATTCTTTCATGATCTCCAGTATCTGTTTCGAAGTGGCCCCCTCGAGAGGAGGGTTATGATCTTGGTAGTTCAGAAACCATTCGTCAAAACAATGACCTTTTTAAAGCTTAGGAGCACGGTTGTGAGAATATTGAAGCGCGCAGGGCCGAACATGCAATGCTCGGTCACGGGATTCTAGAAGACTCGCCTTTATTCTTACGCAGGGCGTAACTTTTATGTTGGATTAAAACTTGGGTTTGGACGAGTTGGTTCATACTGATTTAAAAGGTTAAAAAGCGCAAACAAAATAAGGACAATAAAGGCACACAGACAACAGGACGGGCGCTATCCTGTCGTATACCGTCCTGTTGTCTTTGTGTGCCCGCCCGTCCTGTCGTCTTTGCGCTTTTTAACATTTTAAATCGCAACTTTGGTCATTTCGTCCCAGTTTCTTGTTCTCAAAAGTGCATGTTTATTCTCGCCCCGAGCGCGCGACGTTCGAAGCTTCTTTGCCGAATATTCAAGATGATGACGCACTCTAGATAAGGAGCTGCCCGCGACCTTGTCGAGTCAGTCTCACTCTCGCTCAGTGTTACGCCGCGAATTCGCCGCCCGCTTTTCTGCTGCCTCGACGCTCGTTCTTTATTTTGTTTGGCACAAGTTCCCCGATCAAACCTTTATTTTCAGCTCACTGTTCTTTGTCTCGTCACCTTCATTCGTGACAATATGAGTACGCTATTTGTAGGCCGCAGATCGTGCGGTGATAATTTAGAAGGCGAATTAGCAAATTTTCTTCGTTGTTTATTTATCTTTTTTTTTTTCTATTTTGGTGCGTTTCAGTGACTTACTTCGGACGGAGGCTAAAACGAGCATTATTGGGGAAAACAAACTCACGAGACACACTGTTCATACATCATAACACGAATTAGCGAAATATCCGTGGTTCGAATGCCGCGTGTCAAGTTTTCTCCTTGAGCTCATTTCCATGCGGCATTCGAAGCACGGATCTCACGGCGACTCGCGTTCGAATCTGTACGTAGACTGTCCTTTGATCCTTCAGTTCACTTCTTCTCAAGGGAGATCGAGTTTCGACAAAAAACAGTCTTAGCTACCTGAAGCAAAATGTTGAATATATTAGTGGTCTTATTTTTCGTTACCAACGTACGCTTTCGGTATTTTCGGTTTTAACCAATTTTGTATTTTGGACACAGATAAACGTGCTTTCTTCTTTTCGGTTTTAACCGAGTTCGTAGTTTGAACAGCGACAGATATTTATCGGTGTTTTTCGGTTAATTAAGACCGGAAAGGTCTACAGCCTGATTATGCGTGACTGATCAATATACTCACTTTCACTCTACCGTGGACTTCAGCGGACGCTCGAGCCATCCGAGCAGCCAATCAAGCGCTTGGAGTGTGTCACGTGACTGCGCGCCCCGTGTGTCGCTGCGCCGCACCAAGAGGTCACGTGACACTCACAATCCATTGGATTGGCTCCGGGTGGCTCATAACGTCCGCCGCGTCCCACCGTAAGCTAAAAAGGAGCATACGGAGCGCAAGTTCGTCTGCTCCTTGCGCAGGGATTGCGATGATGTCCAAACGCCGAGCTCTTATTGGCTGAGGTCTACAGCCAATCATAGCTCGGCGTCGTTCTGACGTCATCGCAACTCCTGTGCAAGAAGCAGACAACCTGCTCTCCGCGTACGAAAAAAGCTTCCTCATTCATATTTTGTTACTGCGCGTTCCAGGAGTTTCTTACTACGAGATAATATATTGATTTACTTCCAACCACTTCTGCTTCGCGATATGTATGTACGCAGTGTCGTCGCCCGTTAGAAACGAAAACAAACGAACAACCATTATGATATTTAGTATTTTAGGAAATTTGGCACCGCACCCATTATTCGTACTTTTTTTTTGTTTGTTTGTTCATTAGTATCCGGTACCGAGGGGACAGGTAAGTGATTTATCTTTTCATTTTTGCATTTTAGCTTGTTTCAATAGTAGGCCCTCTGCGATATTTCTGCCAGCTATCATCATCATGCCATTCAAAGCCGCCATATTAGTTGTTTTTTTGCGCTATTTTTTACCTGTTGACGGGGCGCATTGGCATTTGATCCGGTTTTTAGGATAATAAAAAAAATGTATTTGTACGTTCGGTGGGATGCTGTTCGATGCAATGAAGAAAAGAAAGACGGTCGCGAAATTGTGGAAACGAAATTGTCAGCAACGAGATCGCAAGACTCGTCGCCGAGGCAATGAACCGGGCCGTCCAGGTAAGTGAATGGTCTTCATCGACGACACTGTGTGAAGGGGTCGGACTGGACGGGCAACATGCGACCATATTTTAAATCTACGACTCCCACTCTGCCCAGACCAATGTCCCTCGGGCGAAACTATCGGTACGGAAACTCGATAATGGATCTTGCAGACACGACTAGATGGCACTTCTTCTTGCATCTGGTCTGTTCACAAAGAATGGAAGAAAAGTCCCTCATGGAGAGCCCTCTGGTTGCTGCGAGTTTCCTTATTTCTACTCTCCCCCTCCTCTCTAGCGCTCGCCCTGTTAAAATTAAAAAAAAAAAGAGTGGAGGGCTTTATGAGAGGAGCTTGTGCTGCTTTTCTTAACCTACAACAGACTGCAACAGGGACGATTGGGGATGCACCGATGAGGACCGATGATCCTTTTCCTTTCTACCTCTCTTCTCTCTCTCCCCCTGGCGTGACGGGACAACCATAAGTCGAATCTCGTTAATTCAAACTCTCTTAATTCAAACTAACATGCAGGTCCCATCCTATGTGTCTCTATATGGGAGGAAACTCCCGGCAACTGCTTTATTCAAACAAATTTTCGGTCCCCCTCGAGTTGGAATTAGCGAGATTCGACTGTGTCAATATATATGTATAACGTTTTTATCATTATTATTTATGATAAGCTGAAATCGATAATTTAATATTTGACTTTTTTGTTAAACGATCTCAATAACGTTTGTCTACTGTACACGCACGCATGCTCTGAATAACTTGACATGTATCATCATTAACTAAGAGTCAGGTTGAAGGGCCGCCATGATGGCACGTTTCTCCGTCTATCATGGTTACGAATCACGCGGGCGCGTGATCTGTTACGCTCACTGTTCATGCTTTCTGATTTGTTCTTTGTGGATATCTTATTGGCTCATACCCCAATCTCCTTGGCTGCTGAGCAGTGACGAGGTGCTACACTGCTAAGGCAACAGACAGTCAATGCTGAATGCTGGGCTAGTTGGTATTGGTCTTGGGTTGCCGAAGGCATGGTAGCGCCTTTTAGACGAGGACAAAATAAAGAAAGACAAGACAGACACGAGCGCTGACTGCAAATATTTAATCAACATGGAAATAAGACATATATACACGCTTCGATCCTATCCATCAGCCAACCCCCGGCCTACCATGCCTTTGGCAACCCCAGACAACAGACAGTCTTCAGACACCGTCTGGGGCGCGTGTCTCCTTTGTATGTCATTGGCCAGTCTGCAAACGATGTCTGCGGACATGTTCAACGCGTACGAATGTGGTGAAAGCAACTATGGATGGAACATGCGTGGGAGGCGTGTACGCCGACAACTCTATCAGGTCTGCAACGAACGCCATGTCTTTTGTAAGATGGATCTTGAACAGTGTGACTGCGGCGGTAATTAAGTTGTCGATGATTGTGAGTTTCGTAGATTACTTAATATTTACGTTTTAAGATGTTTTCGGTCATTTGGTCGAAACCTTTGGTGAACACTGACGATTATACCGATGCAAACGAAACACTCGATTTCAGAAATCCAAGCACAACAGTAAGTACCAGAAGTTTGCAAGCAGAACAGCCTGCGCTATCCAGGAATCAAGAGCACTGCACGCGAGAATCGGCCACTGCTGTCTCGGTTCAGCCGAGTCAAAACTGGAGCGCTGCGGACGCTAGAGCAAGTCACTCCCCGGCCTTTCCTGTGGTGTCGATAACCATGGTTCACACGTTTTACTACGTGATGCTTCGTCGTTCCTATGTTCTAGTGCCGCAATCTCATAGGCTATGGATGGATAGATGCCCGGGGGTTCGGTGGCGCCCTCTTATGGCTTCCGTTCGTGACGTCACGACCAGGATTTGCCTCGCCGCGATTGGCAGGATTTGCATCGCCGTGAACCGGCGATTGTGCAGGAATTATCGGTATACAGGAAGCTATAAGGTTTAGCCAGTCGCCGATGTCGACCGCAGCGACGCCTTTGGTCTCGCGCGTCTCTAATACGGTCGAACCCGCTTAAGAAGGAAAACGAACAAAGCAATTAGCACCATCGACTCTTCCGGATGGCTTCCTCGGAGGAGCGGTGCGACTAAAGTAATTTCGCGTCTCCCAGGAAATCCAGACCCTGGTGGCACTACGCAGTTCCCCTGTGTCTGTTGCTGCTCTTGCTGCTTTTCTTGGGCACCTGGATTGCCAGCGGGGGCAGTTCGAGTGAGTCTACGTCGTACCGAGATATCTATACCACTTAGAAGACAAGGCCGGCGCCGCTGAGTCGTATGTTTGCTTCTGACGCATTTGTATGTCTACTTTTTATGGTTTTTGTTGTTTCACGCGCACTCTGGAATGCGCCGATAACAGAGATGGTTCTAGTGACATATTGCTCTAATTGCCGCGATTTGTCCTTCGGGCTGAATAATTCATTATTTACTCCGTAAGACAGCTAATAAGGTAGTTACTTTAAGACGGTAACTACAGTGACATTTCCTAAGGAAACACTTTTTATCGTTATAATAAATTATTTACTCTATTTTGTTTTCGTTTTGTTTTCGCAAGGTAGAGAAGCTTTCTATCGTTTACATCGCGATCATCTATACTGCTTAATCGTCGTAAAAAGGCTGAATTTTTTAAAATACCCATTAATTAATGAATTTACTTTTCCTTGCCAAAAAGCAGAGCCTCATCTGGCTACAAAAAGTAAAACAACACACAAAAACTCTCAGCCTTTCCAATCTGCAGAAGATAAAGACCAGCGAAGCTTTACTATGGTGGGAATGAAGTAATGGCCGGCCGCAAGCCGGCAAGCCAGAGTGGAAAGGCTCGAAAGGTTGCCGCCATCTATGAGCGGCGGCGGCAACCAAACAACCGACAAGCCGGTTGCCTGGTTGCCACCGTCGTTAATAGATGGCGGTAGCTGTCCAGAGTTTTATGTCGAGATTTCTTTGCGCACGGACACGATAAACTAGCCCTTAACAGCTCCGCTGTAAAAAAATAAAAAAAAAGAAAATAAAAAAAAGCGTGTTTACATCTCTAAGGTAATCGCGGTGTAATACAATTAATCTTGTTTATAGGTACTATGTTGGGGCAAATATTTTGATCGCTTTTCGACGCCAAGTTCTACGCCAACGCACTGTTTACAAACAAGCCGGCGCTTGCCCACATCAGGCGGGGGATTCGCGTGAGCAGAAACTAGATTGTTACGAGGTGACGCGACTGCGCAGGTGCCGTGCCGACAGCAGCGCCACCGCAGCGCCATGACGTCAGAGCCGCCTGTCTGTCTATATATACTCTGTATCTAACAATATATTGAATGTCATTGTTCAACGAAAATAATTCTGTCCATTCTGTACTCGCGCGCAGACGAACCCGTCGCTGCACGAGATGTGACGAAGACGGACGACAACCGCTACATGTCTGACGCCCCCAAACCCCCGGCAGCCGTGACGTCATCCACCACAACCAGTGAGTTCAGATCAATAAACAGCGAAGGCTGGTTCGCACAATCGCGACTGCTTAAAACCAAGTGCCTGAAAAAAAAAAAAAATCCTGGTGGGATGTCTTAAAGGGGCCCTGCAATGACTTTTTGACTGGTTCTTAATTTGCACTGAACCTGAGCGTACTGATCGTAGTAACTTAATCCAACTTTTCTTTTCTCAAATTTCGCTTTATTTTAAAAGTTATAGGCAAATTAGAATTACAAAAACAAGCAAAAAATAACCTCCCTCATGACGTCGTAGGTCCTGCCTTGAGCGGCCTTGGACTAGAGGAGGAGTGGTGAGCTCATCGAGCGCATACGGCTGCCGCACTCCGTGTCGACGGCTCGAGAGGGCGCCACTAAAGCACGTGTTGGATAAGCTGTATGAAGCGGGCGGCCAGGGCAGCTCGTATTGTATTTGCAGCGCGACTAAACACTAATTCGGCATAACATTTCATTGGCCACAAACGACAGCAAACACGGCGTAAAGATCAGTTCAGAACGGGAGCCACTTCGCGCTGACGCACCGCCAAATGACCAAATCGCCAACAGGGCCCGCGCCGAAGGCCTTCGGAACGTTCGGAACGCTCGGAACCGGTCGGAATCTTGAGCCGGTATACGACCACAGCGCCGCCGCGTACATCCGGGACCTTTCTACTCTCCTCGTTTGTCGTAGCCTCAGGCCCTCATCCCACTAGCCCTTTCTAGTATGCGCCGTTTTTTTCCGCCGCTTGGTGGCGGGTATGTCGACGGGTCATTTCTCGTTTCCGTACTTTCTAAACTGCATTTGTTTCTTTTCTGATCTAAAATAGTGAACAAAAACTACTTTCATACATAATTGAAACGGTTCGCGACACTTCTATTTTGTATCTCGACTAAAAAAAAGCTCTTAGCGGCTTTGACCAGTGACAAGCCCAGGACCAAAGACGTCACATTTTGCGCGCTTTCGGTACCGCGGGTCGCCCTCGTCGGTGGAGGAGGTTTCCGCGTCGTCCGGTTAAAATATGACGCACTGATATTTAGTTACTCTCTCCGTGCCCGCTGGCTTGGTCCAACCCCAAGAGACGTGGAAACCGCAAAAAAGGTAGACGCTAAAATATGATTGCAGGGCCCCTTTAAGACGAGAGTAGAACCAACGGCGCCATCTATCGGGTATTCGTGGAACACTTGTGGCGCTCGAATATTCTCTATTATTTTTCGCGCATCGTTCTTTTTTGATAGAAAAGTTTTTTGACATTGTTATAAAGTACCGTTTTTCTTAGGTACATTTGACCTAGCGAATGCCACGAAAACCTTCGTTCTAGTGACATTCAGTTCCAGGGCCACTTCATAGATGGCGCCAGCGTTCCAGTCTGGAGAGTCTGGAGCTCTCTCTCGTGGTAAGAGATCGCAAGAACTCAGTCGTAAGCAAACGCGTGTGTGTGAACGGCCCTCTAGGACGTTATCGCGTGAAGGGCGTGGCCGGCTAACTTTAGTGGAACAATTTTGCGGACGGTGTTGATGTCACACTGTGTCGTCACAATTCCCCGTTAAATCTAGCGGGGAATTTAGTGTCATGACACGTCGAAGTGTCACGTAAGACCACAGTACCACATCGTCATAAAGCACTAAATTTGGGGTGATCCAGGCCCTCTAGATTTAAACACGGCAGTGTAACTTTGTGCAATAATGTGTAGAGCAGAGTGCCCCTCGCCTATCACCGGTTTTGGTAAAGTACACCTAAAAAGTAGTTGAAGTACAAGGTATATGAGAGGTTATGTGCTTCATGTAGAATAGTAAGTACACAGGGCGCAATGTACTTAAGGTAAAGTACCCGTACTTTTTAGCACAACCTTTCATGATGCCCCTTATTTAATAATAATTGGGGTTGTGTGGATATTTAGACAGCGCGTAGTTCGTGAGACATTTCAAAGTTGCGACGAGTCACTCGCTGTAGATGAGAAATGTAGCCAGTGCAGTACAACCGCTAGCCTGGGGTCTTTAACGTGCACCACGCAGTAGTGATACACGACCGCACGCCGGTACGATGCTCACCCAGATCGAAACGGGCAGGGGTGGGGATTGATACAAGGATCCCTGGGTTCTGCAGCGCCGGCTTTCGCTCCACGTGCTCCGAGCTGGTGTGCGCTAGACCACTCGGCCACCGATCCCCCTGATGCCCCTTCATTCCCCTCAGGGGGGTAAAGGTGGGTGAGGAGGAGTGGCAAATCCCGTGCGCCGACATCCTGGGTCCCGAGTGAACGATCGCAAAAGAGAGCGACAGAACACGAGAGAAAGAAAGCAACGTTGCCATGGTAAACACGGAGAGTGAAAACTCTCAGCAATATAAACAGTGATAATTTAACGTTGTAAACTAAATTCTGAGCTATTCTAACGCTTATAAAAAGCAATAAAGTCATTACGCTGCATTAACTTCCCTTCTGTCGAAATCTCGGAAATCTGGTGGTTGCGCAGTTTCGTATTCCTCAACCGCGCCCAGCCGCGCCCCACCAGCGAAGCCGGGTATATGGTTTAGTTTAGCGTTAACGCGAGGCCGTACATCTGCGCGCTATGCAAAAAGAAACCTTCGAAAAGAACGCGAGTATCTTTCCACCGGTAAGTTCGTGGATTGTTGAAGTTCACGAAACTGCTCTGATGATGTAACCGTGTTTGGGACCCAGAGGGTCTGCCTGCATGGTCCGCCGCTTGCGGCAGCCAGAATGTATGGGAAAATGGCGGACCTTTTCCTCTAGATTTAGTATATGATCTCTATGATTCCCCTCTACAGTGTATTTCTTTTTAATGCTATGCACTGCCGCAGGGGGTAATCGGGAGTACATCACCTATTATCGGACATGGTGGCGAATATTGGATAAAGTCAAGTGGCTTCAGAGTTGTAAAAGCATAATTTGTTTTATAGAAATTTAGCATAACACAGTTTGAGGAGTTTCACTATCCTTGGAAAGTAAGTACATTCTCAGAGAATGTATTTCAAGTAAAGTAATGTTCGAAACCCGACCGAGGTGCCCGTAATCTGACGGAGGGAGAAGGCGCCGTGTAACCGAGCTTTCGATTGCACGTCAAAAGATCCCCAGGCGGTCGAAATTAATCCTCAGTCCTCCGCTGAGGCGTCCTAGATGCCCGTCGTTGGTTTGGCACGTAAAACCCCCAAATTTGACTTGAAGTAAAGTACACCCGCCGGCAATATGAAGGTGGACCTTACCTGGTTTCTTGCCTGTTTTACGGCTCCCTGAAGCTATATTAACTCTCAGCGTCTCAAATGGTACGTGGCTTGGGGTCTAAACTTTTCGTTCTAGCCATCTTCTGGAACAGAGCTTGTTCCAAAACTTGCAGGAGCGTCAAAAACAAGAAGAGGACTGTTCACCTTCATATCGCTCACGGGTGTACACGTTCTTGAAGCCTCCTTGAAGTAGTACTTTAAGCTGTGGAGACCCTTTTCTTGGCCTGCACGTGGCCGTTGCCGAAGCCCACCTTCCCCGCCGGTGTGAACGCATGTAGACTTCATCATCGTCTCCAGTGCTCAAGCCGACATTCTCCGTCACTCTAGGACCCTTTGAACCCAGACAGGCGTCTCTCCAGGTGCCTGTCTGGAGAGAAATCTCGGCTCGGTACTGTAAAGCATGGAACACATGAGCGGTGAAACTATATCTAGCCACCCTAGTGAAACTGAGCGCCGCGCGTCGTTCACCGCTAGGGGCGCCACAGGCGCACCGATCCGAGCGACGCGGTGCCTGCCGCGCGGAAGTGACGTAGGGACGCCCCCAGTACCGGTTACCGTGGATACTGGCGTGCGCTGCCGTGCGGCGCCCACTTTCATCGCTTATGTGTTCCCTGCTTTAGAGTCTTTGTTAGGGGAGTCCTCACTGAGGGAGCCGACAAGCTGTTGCAGCACCCGGAGGGGAACAGGACTTGGGTCATCGCCATGTGAGTTGAGAAACTGTTTGATTGAACTTGCTGTATTGTGGGACTCCCTTAGGAAAGACTGCAGCGTGGCTTGGTCGAATCGGGCCTAGTATAAGGTGTAAAGATCCAACAATGTACAATGTACTTAAAGTACTTCCCAACGCTGCCTATCACCAGAACTCATTTGCAAGGAACGTGGAATGTTTTTTACTTATTTTCTTTTTTCTATTAGGTCTGTCATACTCATAACGTAAACCTGTGTGAGACCAGTGCTTGCGTACAGTGCACCTCAAATGTCGCTTCTTAACTTTCAGCTACGACTACAACTAAAGAAACAACAACGACCACAACTACGACAACTAGTAAGCGCGAACAATTATTCCTCACGCAATCGCACGATTTGGTCTATAACAGGGGTGGCCAGGTGAAACTATGCCGGAGCCTAAAAGAATTACTACTCTAAACGAATTAATTTTCGCGGGCTCTTATTTCTGCGAATCGGCCCAAAGCTGAACATGCTTTAATTATTCTCGGGTTCCAATTTTCGCGAATCGAACATTAGAAACCGCTGTGACCGTTATTTGAAGTGACAGTAAATTCCGGGTTTTTGCATTATTTTCTTTCAAATATTTTAATTACTTACGATACTAACAAACCAAACATAAGTAATGATCACGTGAGAACCTTTGCATGCGTGTTCTCCCGTTGTTAGATTGTTGCCGAAGGAAGCCTGCACCCTGCCAACGTAGCTTCCAAAGTGTCAGCATTTTGCTCGAATTTCGCGGAACCTATTTCTTGCGAATCGTAGGCGAGTCGCAAAAATCGAGTTGTTTACAGTATTTTACTTAAAGAGCCACAATGGAAAAAAAAAAAAAAAAAAAAGCGCCACAGATTTTTAAGCTTAATTTTTTTTTTTTAGGGCACACCGATTTTCTTTTATAAAGCAATCGCTCATTTACGTATCTTTGTTGTGTGTCTCCATTAGTAAAACAAGTACTTTGAAGTTTGTCTCCGATGCATAACTGAGGGTTTCGATTTTGCCGCCTTTATCGCTCAGACCTTGAGCGAAAACAGGTCGGCGAGA